TGGGAACCGAGTGAGAAATTCGTCTGAAGAGCTGGGCAGCTGGCCTCCCACGCGGGACGCCTCGGTGGGAAGCGGAGCCGTCACTTCTTGATTCAGCGGGTCGTGATCTTTGCTGGTGGCCTACATGTGTCATATAACAGCCGGTTCATTCTCTCGGGCTGACGCCTGTCGCCGTCCAGTCTAGGTGACTCCCGGGGATTGGGCTGAACAGATGACCAGTCCCCCATCCTGCTAGGAGGTCCCCAGGGCTCTAGGCAGTTGTCAGGACTCTTGAGGTCCTCAGAAGAGTGAGATTTGGAACTCTCTGAGGGAGGCAGCTTGGTGACTCTGCCCTAACAAGGCGAAGAACAGATGGCTTTATGCAGTCGAGTCTCAAGTTCATAACAGACAGGTCGCCCTGTGGGCCGACCACAGGGACGGTCATCCACAAAGGCGAGAACTCGGGGAGAACTGACCTGGTATTATAGGATGTCGGCGGAGGGACACCGTCAGGCCCAGTCAGCAGTGACCGTGGGTGGGGCCGGCCGACGCAGGTGGCAGCTTCGGAGCTGCCTGGTGTCTGTGTTCCAGAAGCACGGCTGTCCTGGTGATGGCCGGGAGCGGCAGGCCCCATACGGGGCGTGGGGACCCCTCTAACCGTGAGAGGGAGAGGGCAGCCCTCGTTTACAAGGGCCGTGTTACTTAAGGACCCCTTCCAGCGCACGAAACGGGGTCTTAATGGCCCTCGAAAAATGGAGCTCCTACCTAATCCCCCAGCCCCAAGCCCCCGCTCCAGGGCCACCAGACTCAGGTAAGAATTCCCGAAGACTAGCCTGTGCCCGGCCAAGTCCACAGCACCCCCAAAATCCTATTTCTTGGGCTTCTTTAAAAAAAAAATAACTGAAGAGGGGGCTACTTTACAAGTTTGGTCAGTAAATATTAATTGATTTTATAATCAGAAAAAACTTTTTTGTTTTCTAGAACTTTCTTATTCCCATAGGCCAAAAGAAAAACCAAAAAAACCCCAAAAACCCGATTGGCTGATTTCTTGGTCAACTACGTGGTAGTTTAGGCACCGTGCGGACACCCTCCAAATTTTTCTGCAGTGGGGTCCAACTGGGACCACTGTGCCACATCGGGGCCCGGTTTGGTCACACGGCATCCCTCGGTGGCCCTGAGCTGGCCTAAAGCGGCTTTCTCAGGTGTTTGCACCTCCAGGTGTTCGCGCCTCTGTGGGCCGCTGCCGGGCCCGGTGGAGCAGAGGACTGCTTCATACTGCACCCCTTTTGCTGAGCCTAAGACCTGTGGGGTGGGGGCGGGAGCCAGGAAGGAGCAGGGGGAGCGGGCTCGCTCTCCAAATCCCCGCTCCAAAGCCAGCCTGCCAAGCCGTGCACACAGACACGACAGCAGATTATAAAAACACCGTGAACAATGTGGCTCATGGGCCGACATGCCCTGCAAAGGGGCCCGAGAGCCCGGAGGTCCCAGGGCCACATGCAACACCCTAACAGGGACAGCTTGGGGGGATGCCGGTCTACTTCCTCTTTCGGTCCCCTTCTCCAGAGAGAAGCAGAGAGGTGACACAAGGAAAAAGACAGACTGGACCCCAGCCGTCCCCCGAGACTGGCCCGTAAGTGATGCAGGCAGATCTCCTCACACAGTGGATGAGTGGCATACGGGCCGCGCTGCCAACATCAGCAGGGCAGGCAAGCCCTGCGTGCTCGCTCCAGAGGGGTCTGACGCATTTCGGGAAGAGCGAGGACTCTGCAGACTGGGACACCAACTCCTGTCCTCAAAGGACAGTCACAAAGTATAAGTTAGTCCGTGTTCCTTAAGATTGTACTAAGGACAGAGGCGCATGGGCCTTCCCTGGGATACTAGTTCATAAGTTCTGGAATCTCATGAACTATGATCTCTCTCGGCTTTTAAAACACCCTGGTCAAAATTCTGACAGGGTATGAGGACACCTCTGCTAAGAAAGGATGTTCCCAAAAAAACAGGCAAGAAAAAGTCAATGGAATCATGGTGCCTTCTCCTCAAACAGGTCCTGAGATCATCATCTGAGCAAGACGGAATACGCAAAAATAAAAATGCCTTTCAGAAGTTCTTTCCAATTTGAAAGCACAGGAAAGGGCTTGGCGTGTCACTTGGCTGTTCGGGAAAATGGTTAAAGTTGCTGTTCTGTCTTCAAAAGTGTTCTATTGTCCTTTTATTTAATTTTTAACTTAAAAAAATGTTTTTAAGGGAACATTCAAGGCAATTTATCAACAAAAGGAGTCGATAATGACTGCTGTGCAGAGGAGGTCACGGAAATGGTTCTAGATTCTGGGGTGGATTTGGGGTTGAGACAGGGGGATGAACAAAAGGGTCCGTGGAGTGACGCTGCATCTAAATCTTTCGACGTACACGGGACACTTTGCCATCGCGAGGAGAGCGCCAGAGGCAGGGAGCCAGGACGTTTGAAATTGTGAACAGGTGTTTTACTAAACTCAGGTCAGGCCCGCAGGACCTGGGAAGAATGCACCCGTTCCTCCTCCCCGGAGTTCTAGACTCCGGGAATGCTCAGATGAAGTCCCGTGACGAAGAGCAAGCTTGACGAAGAAGTTTAAAACCTCAGAAAGGTTTAGACAATTGACACTGATGTCAGGAGAAAGGCTCTGGGCGTCACCACTTCGGGGGCCCGCTGGCTGCCTGGCGACCGAGCCACACAGACTCAACTGGCAACCTCGCCGTCGCCTGTGCGGCTCTCTCGAGGGGAATAACATGTAAATGTCAAAAGTAAAAATGAGACACTGAAGTCTCGGTTTCTCTATTTCCTGATCTGCTTAAATATCAAACAGTGGCTGTAAACGGACTTCCACCTAGACACTCACTAGGTATTTGTTGAACACATAAAAACAGCGTTTAAATTCGAAACTTTTACCTCCTGTTAGACATATAAGGAGTTCATAACTTTTTCTATTAGGTTGGTTTCTTAAATGTTTCAGAGAAATAATCCCGATTTTCACATGTTTTTCTCACGTAATCTCTGGATGAGTTCATGCAGCTAGCTATTTCAAAAGTGAGGCAAACACATGGAAAATTAAATAGGGGTACAATCTACTCAAAGATACTTGGGCAATATTTTAGACCTACAATCTCGTTCTGTTTTTCTAGATGAAACTCTCTAGTGCCAATCTTCTAGTGTGTCTTATATTTATTTTAAATGAAGGAAAAAAAAAGAATAAAACCACTAAAACCATGAAAACATACAACTTTCTAAAGAAGAAACTGAACCATTGCTGTTATACATACATATATATTTTTAAATCTTTTGTATCATCTTCTAGAAATATCTTAGAACGTTGATGTACAGAATGAAAAAAAAAAAAAGACAATTCTCTGAAGAAGGAATAGGATCAACTATGCCATTATCATCATCAAAGTACCTAAAACAAAATGTAGCTAGAGTACTGGGTTTGGGATTTTTTCTTTTTTTACGTGCCCCCCCCCTTTCTCCCACCCCAAGAATGTCAAGAATTTGAACTCCCTGTTCCTTAAGGTGAAAGGGCATTAATTAACTCAGATCTGCTCATGAAGAAGAGGGGTGGCAAATCCCGAGATGCTGGAACCATACAATAAAAATTTCCCAAGTTTAGGAGGATGGAAAGAGGACGCTTTCCTCGGGTGCCTCGGAGGTCAGCGACCAGGACGCTCGAATCGCGGGCCGTTAATCAGGAGCCGGCAAGATCTCCGTGTGCATCTCAGTGATTCTCTACTTTATTTCGACATTTAGCTTTAGGTTTAAAATATTTGCTAAGAAAGCAGAGAGGTGATTAACAGAGGTTTTAAAATGTGCGCCATAGTTACACGTTCCGTCAACAGAGGCGAAGGAAACTGTACAGCATAGGTTACAAAGCGGTGATCTCATAGTTCGCGGACATCCCAGCAAACCCTCCGTGCTGGTGGTGGTCGACGGCGGCAAAGCAGAGCGGAAACGGACTCAAGAGCCAGCTCGGCCCCTTCGGGTCTCGCAGTGGGGCATCATCCCGATGCTCCTTCGAGAAGACCGTCTGCTGGAGATGCCCAAAGAGGAGGCAACCACAGCCCCCCTGGGGGACCGCAGGCGTTACCCCAGCCCCAGAGCAAACCCCTCCGGGCTGCACGGACAGCTCGGAGGATGCATGGCGTCCCAAAAGGGCTACATGCGGCCAGCTCGGGGTCTGCACTACCTCCCAGTGGTTGCTGCTTTTGAAACTCCTTTTTCTCCCATGAGCTAGAGCTGCCAGGTTGGAGGAGAGCTCGGCCGCCACTCCGATACTGGGCTGCGTTTGGTATTATTTTTATATTCTCATTCGAGCAGATTGGATTAGAGGCAGCGATCGCCAGCACAGAACACAACAGAGGCGGCGGTCAGCCGGGCTGCTCCCGAGACCGGGTCAGACCGGGTCGGACCGGGTCGGACCGGCCCCGGCCGCCGACGTGCAGGGCGGTAGCTCATTCACTGCTGCTCTCAAGGCAAAGGCTGCAGGGGGGGCGAGGTCAACGCCAGATGCTGCTGCACCCTTAAGAAGCTACTTAATAAATATCATCAAGAAACAAGATGCAAAAGAAGCCCTCTGGGGCACAACCGCCTTAGATCAACTGAAGGTCGTCTCGTCTTCTTTACTCAACTGAGATTTGAGAGAGAAGGAAACTATGAAAACAAAAAAAACAAAACGAAAAAAGCCGATCTTAACACTAGCAGTAAATAAATTTGTACAACGATTCAGTCTGTATAGTATGATGAAATAAATCTACATCTTTTCTTATTTTGGTGCTTTGAATTATACATACAAACAACAATTACAGGGACTTGTTCACGCAGCGTGTGGGCCCGGGCGAAGGGTCTCTGGAACCCTCGACAGCGACATGGGTGTTAAGACGCCACTGCCCGGAACTGAGAGAATTTTCCAGGCGGGGGGGCCCACAGCTCTGAACGAATGATTCGCCTACGTCATTTTTTTTTTCTTTTTTTCTTT